TCCTTCACGTACCCACCCCTATCCCATGCATTTGCCCGTGAGTGCTGGTTAAGAAATGAGGTATAGATACTGTTGCCCAATAAAGGGTTAAGCTTTAAAATTTGAAAAATAGATAATTTCTTGGTGTAATATAGGAAAAAAGCGCTGGACTAGAGTTAAAAGACCTTGATCTGCCTCCTGCTGAATGAAACACCTTGGAGAAGGTAATTTAACACTCTGGGCCTGTTTCTTTATGTGTAAAGTATAAATAGTACATTCTTTACCACCCACCCAAAGTGGTTAGAATCAAATGAAACTGAGCTGTTAATTGCTAAATGTAGTACTTCTTCCCTTCTTCAGGTATAACAAAGATGCTTAAATATATATTTAGGAAAGAATTTTTAATCTGAACTTTATAGCTGCCAAAATGAAAGTTGATAATCTTAACTGATATCAATCAACACGTAAATAAATAAACAAAATTGCGGTATATCCTTACCATAGAATACTACTCAGCAGTAATAAAGATGTATAACCTGGGGATCTTAAGTACCTATTCATAGTATTTTCGGTTATCTATATGAATGTTATTTTAGATACATTTTCTTCTGGGACTCTTCTTGTCAGGAATGGATGATGATAAATGGTGGGACTAAGATTTCCACCTCCTTCTGTTAAAGAAAACTTAACTTAGATTGATAGAACAAGCAGTGGAAAAGTTAAGGTCTAAATCTCTTAACATTTCTTCTTTTCCAGTAATTTTTCATGATTTCCTTGGAATGAAAATATTTTTCCCTCTTATTTATTTATCTTTTTTAAGAGACAAGGTCTCACTATGTTGCCTACACTGCAATCACAGTACACTACAGCCTTGAACTCTTGGGCTCAAGCAATCCTCTAGCCTCAGCCTCCCGAGTAGCTGGGACTACAGGCACTTCGCTTTCCTTTTTTAAAAAATTGGTGCATAATAATTGTACATATTTATAGGATATATGTGATATTTTGATACATGCATGCCATGTGCAATCAATGATCAAAGAGTATTTAGGATATCCATCACCTCAAATATTTTCTTTGTGTTGGGAACATTTCAACTCTTCTAGCTATTTTGATACTACTACACTATCAAACTCTAGAACTTATTCCTTCTATCTAACTGTATATTTGTATCCATTAACCAATGTCTGTTTCTCCCCATTCCCTCACCCTACCCAGCCTCTGATAAACCATGATTCTACTTACCTCCACATCAGCTTTTTTAGCTTCCACATATTAGTGAGAATATGTGATATTTGTCTTTCTGTGCCTGAATTATTTCACTTAACATTATGGCCTCCAGTTCCATCCATATTGCGCAAATGGCAGGATTTTATTCTTTTTATGGCTGAATAGTATTCCATTGTGTGTATATACCACATTTTTTTTATTCATTCATTCACTGATGGACACGTAGGTTGATTCCATATCTTGGCTATTGTGAATAGTGCAGCAGTGAACATGGAGGTACAGGTATCCCTTTGATATACTGATTTCCTTTCCTTTGGATAATACCCAGTAGTGGGATTGCTCGATTGATCACATGGTAGTTCTGTTTTTAGTTTGAAAAAAAATTTTTTTAACACAGGCTAGTTGATTTGTAATATAAGGGCTAGGAGGTTTGTAATAAGAAAAAGGTTGTGAGTTGCGAAATGATAAAGTGGATATAGGAAAAAATTAATGTATACTAATAGATAAAACTGTCACTCAGTTTTTTTAAACAAAGTTTAATGAGATATCATTTAAACACTAAAATTCACCAATTTTAAGTATATACAGTTATTACATGAGTTTTGGCAAATGTAAACAATCTTAAAACCATGCCACAACCAGGTATAGAATATTTTTATCATCCCAAAAAGTCCCCTCCTGCCCTCTGTCAGTCCCGTTCCACACCCCAGCAACCACCAGTCTGTTTTCTGTCACTACCATTGTGTCTTTTGTAGGATTTCATATAAATGAATTGCTGCAGTATGTAGTCTTTTCTGTCTGGCTTATTTCATTTAGCATCCTGCTTTTGAGATTCATCAGTATCGTTGCCTATATCAATCATTTGTTCCTTTTAATGTATTTCCTTTCTTTCCTCATCATGTTTCCTCTATCTTTTTGAACATATAGAGCATATTTATAATAGCATTTTAACATCCTTGTCTGCTAACACTTTGTCATTTCAGTTCTGTTTCTATTGCTTAACTTTTTGTCTGATCGTAGATCATATTTTCCTGTTTGTTTGAATGCCTGGATTTTTTTTTTTTATTTATTATATGTTGGACATTGTGAATTTTACGTTGTTGAGTTCTGTATTTTCTTGTAGTCCTTTAGGTAATGTTGGACTTTGTTCTTGGAATCAATCGGACCCTTTTGAGACTAGCTTTTAAGGTTAGGGTGGGTCCAGACCAATTTTTAGTCTAGGGCTAATATATTAATAGCTCTACTACTAAGGTGATACCCTTCTGAGGACTCTTTAGATACCCCATAAGATCTTTCCATTTTGGTGGGTGAAAATATTAATACAAACTATTCCTCACTCCACAGGACTGCCAGGAATTGTTCTGGCTGTTGCTTTCTGGTGGATCTTTCCCCAGCCTCTGGTAGTTTCTTCTCATACATATGCAGATCAGTACTCTTCCCAAGGCTCAAGAAGACCCCTCTGCAGATCCCTAAAGTTCTATCTTTGCACCTCCCTCCTCTCCTGTACACTATCCAACAAATTCCAGCCACCTTAGTCTCCCCAACTCTTATCTCAACTGGCAACTCTCCACTCCGATCTCAACTGTCCTCAGTTGACAAGACTGGGTCCCCCTTCCTCATGCTGTAGCCTGGAACCTGCCTCCAGGCAGTACAGGAACAATCCAAAGTTCCAAAGGTTCACCTTTTATGTCCAGTTTTTTGTTTTTTGAAGACAAAGTCTCTGTTGCCTGGGCTAGAGTGCAGTGGTGTCATCATAGCTCACTGTGACCTCAAATTCCTGGGCTTAAGTGATCCTCCCACCTCGGCCTACCGAGTAGCTGGGACTACAGGTGCGCACCTCCACACCTGGCTAATTTTTTTATATTTTGTAGACACAGGGTCTCGCTATGTTGTTCAGGCTGGTCTTGAATTCCTGGCCTCCAGCAATCCTCTTGCCTGGGCCTTCCACAGTGCTAGGTTTATAGGTGTGAGTCACCGCTTCCTGGCCTTATATTTTGTCCAGTTTTCTATTGTTTACTGCAGGAAGGTAAATCTAGTCCCTTGTACTCAGTCATGGCTGGAAATGGAAGTCTCTTTTTCTACATGTAGACTAAGCATGTGTTGCTTATGGGGAAAATTATGGTACTTGACTCATCAGTTTTCAACATACTTAAATATAACACACTTTAATGTCTGCTTTATTCTTAAATGATGTTCTTTGGTGTTAACACTAATTAGGCTAATCTAAGCTAAATGTGTTTCTCTGATCAAGTTGAAATTGTCTGCATAGAGTATTAATTTGGGGCTATTTGGGGCCAATTTATCTAGAGTAGCTTCCCATGAATGATGAATATGTTAGTATTCTAACTCTAAGAACATTTATTAGCATCTATATATCTGATTGGTTGATTAGTTTATCATATGAACTGTGTCACATTTGCATTTTTAAAAATATGAATTTGCTGACTTTCTAATATATATGAGAAAATTACTGCAACATTTTCTTATTCATGAGTATTCATGGTTGAGAAGACCATAAAATAGTTCTTAGCCCTTTGCAAGCTGATCTTTTGAATTTATCGTGTTGCTCTGT